GAGAGAGAGAGAGACCTTTTGTTGCTCCTATATTTTTTAAAATAAAAGTATATATCATTGATAGAATATTTGAGAGGCTATAAACTGCATAATGTCTATAAAATTACAAATTGGTCTAGCATCGAGAAGCATACCTTTGGAGAAAGCTAAGCTCCACTTGCTTTGACTTGAGGATAGATGTGACCAAAGTAAATCGCTTGCAATGTAAGGATCAATGTAATTACAGCATACAACTGCAAGTAAAGGAACCACGAGGAAAATCAGAATCATAGATAAAGAATTAGACTTCAAAGTTTTAAGAGAACTTCTTGAGGTTACATGCTCACCACAGCCGTATAAAATTGTGCTGGTAACTGCAAAAGTAGAACATAAGCACATAAGTTACTCTACAACACCCAATAATTTAAATCAGGAAAGAAACTTGCAAAACATAAATTTTATTTTGGGGAAAACAAAGAAATTCTAGGACAACTTTTGGATTAATATATCACATCTCCAATCTTTCCAGTGCATAAAACAAAATGACAAGGAATACAGAATGAATTTGGATTCCGACCACTTCCTTTATGAGATTCTGCACAAGTGGAAGACCCTTGACCGAACTAAGCATGCCAGAAGCAATTTAGCAGAAACTTTAGATAAAAAGAAGAGCATAAATACATCTTATGGACAAATTCAGCAGTTAAACTAACATTACAATCCAATGGTCAACAAAAGTCTTTTTTTTTGGAGAAACATTAACTCCAATGGTCTACAAAAGTCCATACTCCATTGTAACACCATTGTCCATTGAAACATTTGATGGCAATGAGGAAGATGTGAGGACACCAACATAGGATAGACTCCACTCTCAGTCCATTTCCTCAGACATCAATAATCCGATGGACTATGGTCGTTTTATAGTCTATCGTATTATACTGTACATCTCTCTCATTATAATATACACTTCAAATAAAATTGGGAGGCAAACACTATGAAAAGCATAATTAATAGCAAGAGAAACTTACAGTAGCTGGCTCCAGCAAACAACCAAAAAGGTTAAAGAAATCTCTCCAAAAGAGAAACCAAAGCAATGAGATGGTGCATAACTGTAACCCATGAAGCAAGTTCAGTACAATGAACGATGCAAAGTAAATAGCCAATTAGACTTCAATTCGAGTTCAAATGAAGTCCTCTTCTAATGCTACAGTTATTGACAAATGGAGATAACATATTTGGATATATGCCTAAAGAGTATAAACAAATACAAGGGGAACTCTGAGAAATGAGATAGTAGTTTGAGAGTGCAATACTATCAGGAACACAGGATAACACAGACAGTACAGAGAAAACAAAATACCAATACAAAGAAAAAAAAGAAAACTAGCAATAAACTCAAAAAGCAATTAGCAATTAGAGGTACATATGCAGCAGAAAGAGTCTAACACCAATGAAGAAATATGAAAAACATGGTATAAAAAAGCAAAGACATGGTGACAGGGAATAGGTACATATGCAGCAGAGAGAATTTAACGCCAATGAAGAAATATGAAAAAAATTATATAAAAAGGCAAAGACATGGTGACAAAGAAAACCAAATTATACAAACACAGAAGACGAAACCAGAGAAATTACACTAATGCATACTATGAATGGTTGAATGAGAGGAAGTAGAACTTACCCAAGAACCCATGTCAATAGAAAAGCCATTGAGAGACTTTCAGAGGTCTTTTCCTTATAATTTGAGATTATTTGAGGGATCTCTGCAACTCCCCAGCTAATAACACTGATCAAGCCTAGTATTAAAGATAACCAATCCTTCACATCACAGATACAATACTTCATATAAACTCTGGCCCATTCCCAACAATGCTTGTTTATAGGACAAGCCGGCAAAGACTCATTAATAATTTCCATGGCGAAATGCCCAGAAAGACAAAAAAAAAACTCTTAACTGAAAAAATTAAGCCAGTGTTTTTGAATGCTTTATATTTTATGGTAACTCTGGAACGTATAGAGAAGACCCATGAACTTTCCTGTTAGAGAGAGAGAGCTATAAACGTAACACAATAATAGTATAAATTACCCAGAAAATGATCCAGACATATGTAGAAAAACACCAAGATAAATACCAAAAACCCAGAAAGATAAACTAAATAGAATGAGAGAGAGGGAGGGGTTTAGGTTTTACGAACGCGGAGTTTGTGCTGAATGAGCTGGAACAGTTATTGAACAGCAACTTCTTCAAATAATTCTACGGTTTCAAGGACCATTTTGAAACCTCCACCCTGTAAATTCAATTGAAAATAAGGATTTTATTGAAAATTTAGTGGAATGTACAGCGCAAAAAAGAAGAACAAATAAAAAAATAAAAAGATGAAAATTCAAGACCAGAGGATTCGTTTAACGGCCTTTGTGGCGGGTTTATTGATTTTCTACATTCCTACTAAATTTGAGAATTCCAATATACCCTGTACACAACTAAAGGTTTGGACGCGTATACTATGTTCCATACATTTACGTCCATGTAATGAGGTCGAAATGAGACTTGCAATTTATAAACAAGCGTATTTAACAAGAAGTTATTATTTATTTCCAAATTTTAAAAATTAACTCAATATTTTCATTTTATATGAAGATCTCTTTTTTTAACTTACTGAAAGTATTGCACTTGATATAACAGGATGACGGACTAGAATTCGTATAGCTGATAGAACAGGATGACGGACTAGAATTCGTATAACCAACCTCAAATAGTTGACAAAAAGGCCTTGATGATGATGATTAGGAACTTTTTTTTTTTTTTTTTCACATAATGCTTAGTACTTAATAGTTGGAAATAAGAAAACTTGTTCAACTTTCAAATATTGCAGTGTTTCAAAATTAAAAATTGGGCCCAACTCACTCGGGTCCATTTGCCCATCTGATTCATTCGTTGTCAAAGTTCGGGATGATTTTGGGGTTCCTCGAATTGAAATTGTGATTTAGAGTTGGCCTATCGATTTTTAAATCACCGTTTTAAATTTTTTTAATTAAAAAATATCACCTTATTTTGATGGTCATAAATGATGAAAAAAAAACAATATTACGAGCAGTGGGTTAAGTTCAAAGGGAGAATTAATTTACTCTATGATTTGCTTTAATTTACTCCATAATCTGCTTTAAAACATGTATCTTACTTTTGACATCTTGTTTCTCGTTTGTTGCTTCAAAATGATGGTTCAAGTAGATGTCAAATCAAATACTCCTTTCATTGCATCTTCAAAAGAGATATTTATTTTCCTTGAATTTATTTGAAAAGCACAGGCAAGAGGCAAGTTCTTTTCATCATTACCCCTTGCCATCAAAAGTAAATGTAAAATTGTATGAGAAAATTTTTCTTAAATTGTGTAGAGAAGTGTCAAGATGCTATTGTTAGATTTTATCTCTAATGCCTTCGGGTATTTGTAATTTTTGAAAATGAAAGGTTAACGGTCTCATTGTATATAACCCTTTTGATAATAGGGATTATCCATAGATAGACCACTTACCTTTTGAAAAAGTTTATATAAAGGTTGAAACCTTAAAATGTAGAATTAAAGATGCACCTTAAAAAGCCGCCATAAAAGATTGTTTGGATGTTAGAAAATCCTCTAATTGATCATCTTGATATATGAAAATAAAAAAGAAGAAAAAAGATTTTGAGTCTGCAAAATAGTGTATCTTACAACACATTATCTAAACAATCCATTTTCAAGATTTTCATGTGTTTATAGATATACTTGATTTGAAAAATTTTAGAGTTCAAAATTTTATTATCAGAGACGAAAATAGATTCTCAATCCATCCTAAAAATTTTTGATATCAGAATTACATTAATGATAAAATTTAAACGTGTGCCTTAATTGGATTATTTAAGGTTGCAACCTTATACAAACCACACATTTTACCTTTTGTAAAAGTCACAATCATTCTCTTCCCTTAAATTTCAAAATGAGTAGTTGAAAGAGTGTCATTAATTAGACACAAAGTTTCACAAAAAAAAATATTTGTACTTCGTGACTCGCCCCAAGTCATCCAATTTGACATCTAAGGAGTAGGAAGAGTTGTGACCTCCTTGTACACGAGGTAAATGGACCAGAGAAAATATGAAATTTAAAAAGGACAAAGATGAATTAATCTTACTACCTTAAAATTTTTGAAGAAAGATCCTTAATTTACAACATAATCTTCATTGCTATCACCTTCCTTGTCCTCTTTTCGACTTCTGAAGTAGCAGAATTGAAGTAATATCTACCATGGTGGTTAAAGAATTTGAATCATTTCACAACCATTTTCGTTTTTTCACCTAAGGTTTAAAAGGAACAAAAAAAGAATGGAAAGAGTAATCTTCCAGAAGAATGTTGAAGTATCACACGGCGTATGAATGTATGCGCGCGTGCATGTGCACGTGTGCGTGTTTTTTTCTTTTTCTTTTTTTTGTCAAATTGCCTCGTCCCATCTTCTTCAGCAGTGGTAATTTTGTGACAAACATTAAATGTGTTCCTATGTAAATGGATAAAAAACATTTAGATTTGATAAAAAATATTGCTAATCTAAAAATTCTGAAAACAAAAGGATACAAAGGAATCTAAGAGAACACAAGCTCCTGCATCCACTAGCCATGGCAAATTTGGATGTATTTTACTCCACTCTATGCTGCGCACAAGGATACTGCAACACAAGAACAATTATTGAAAGTTAAGTATGCACAAATGAAATATGGGAAAATATCAAAAAAATAGTCAAACCATCTCAAAAAAAGCAATCAGGTGATTAAATCAAATAATTTAAAAATGATAAGGTGAGAAAATCAACTAATTTACCGACAAAGCTACTTTCAAAAAACCTTTTCACTAGGTACCTCAAATATTTTTGTTAGAAAATGCCCAAATTGCCTTTCTAAGGTTTGGAACCCAGAATAAGTGACAACATTTTTATAATTTGACCACTTGATCGAACCGAATGATCTAAATTCCATTGATTGTTTTGCTCTCCAAACCTGGAACATGTCTTAACAAAAGAATCTTGTTTTGCTTTAGAACCAAGAATAAAAAGGTATCTATATCTATCCTACTTGTTCCGGTTTCCAAACCCGGAACAAGATCTCTTAATAAAAATAATCATAATGCAGGTCTGAATCCTAGAATACGGAATATATTTAAGTCATGTGGCTCAAGTAATTTAAGTGACCAAATTGCAAAAATGCCCAACTTGTTTAGGATTCTAAACCCCGAACATGGGGGCATTTCGAGCATTTTCAAACAAAATAATTGAGGAGGTACATATTAAAAAGTAAACATGTTGTTGGCAAATTAGTCGACGTATAAGGTTAGCAGTAAGGTGCACCTTAAAATGTACTACAAAAGAGTTTTCTTAAGTTGGAAAACCTCTCGATTGATCATCTCGAACCTTGAGATGTATGAAAAGAATGTCTTAAAAATAGTAAATCTTGTAACTTGACCAAGATTTTCAAGTGTTTATAGATCAGCGCAATCTGCACTAAATTTCATAATTAGAGTTGAACAAAGATTTTCATGCTATCATAAGGTTTCCAAAATCAAAACTACATCTTCAGGCAAAAATTTAAAGGTGCACCTTACTTGTCCAGTATAAGTGTGCACCATGTATATACCTCACCTTGGATATTTTGAAGTGGTTTGACCATTTTATTGATACTTTCCAATGGAATAACTCAAGGAGACTGGATTTCCACTAGACTTGCAAAAGAAAGAAAAAGAAAATGAAAGAAGCTCGGATCCTCTCGGGTCCCATTTTTCTAAGACCATAACCCATGATTTACCTGCCCACATATGTTGAATTTCCAATCAAAGCAAAGATGAACATTAGAGGGTTTAATCCCTGCAAGAAACATAATCAACATTACTACATACACCTTTTGCCCATAATGGTCACTTCAATGAAAATATTCCAAAAGCTACTAAAATACTAAGTTTTTAAAATAAACGAGTTATTGAGAGAGAATTACCTCGACACTTCCCCTTTTCATCTGCAAGGGGTACATAAAAGAACAGTAAGTTGGGAAATGATCAGTCATATACAAAGTTCAAACGGTTTCTAATCAACAAGAGCAAGAAAGTAATTATCCAAAAACTATTCACAAAGAATCTTAAAAGAGAACAAAATCTCTCAAGCATGGTTTTTACACACACACACACTGAGAGGGGGAAAAAAAAAAAGTTTTATAGTAATTGCTTGAGCTCACATTAAGGCAAATCTGAGGAAGGCGCCCTCCCATGTATATAGCTGTCATGGCCCAACCCATGAAATTCCCAACCATACTGTGCCCTTCTCCCAATGATGACGACTCCCCCACATTCTGGGAACAAACCAAACGAAGGAGAATTTTGTTAAAAAGCAATAAGTATGTGCAATAGGCTCATTGCCATGGCAATTAATGTGAAGCAAGAAAAAATAGAAGACAAGAATCCGAACCTGAAAGCATCAAGAGCGGGTCAACTTTTAACAGTATAGAAAAATGATTAAAATATGAAAACCTAACCATAAAGAGAAAATGGGGAGAGAGAGAGGGAGGGAACAAATTAACCAACTTGTCACTCACATAAAGTATGAACACAAGCTTGTTATGTATGGTAGTAGTCTTTGTTAGCAAGTGGTCATTAGGTTACAGCTGAATAAAATAAAGACTTATCGTTGATACAAGGAGGTCACTATTATCCTTAGTTGTTAGATGTAAAATCTGACAGCTTGGTCTGTGTCATGAAGTTAGAAAGTTTTTCTTTTAAACTTGGAGCTCCGTCAATGTGACAGCCCCAGTGACGTGTTTATCACCGTGGAACTTATTGAGACTACATACAAGAAAACAATACACAAAGGCACGAAAACATTGCAAGTGTTCTGTTAACAGAATATTTAAGCCCACATGTGTATATATACACAGACAAAGGAATATATATTTTTGAAATATTCAGATAAACAATGAAGGATAAAAGCTTCCATCAAAATGATCTTTTAGTACTGAAAATGATCTTTTAGTAATGAAGATGATATTTAGCTGTAAAACAAACTTTGTTGTACCTGTAAAAGCAGAGAAAACGGAAGTTATTTACCTGTAAAAGCTTTCTCCCCAATTGTATGACAACTCCCTGAGAGGTCTCATGCATCGCTTCATTATACTGGCTATTAGCTGAACGGTGGAGATTGAAACTTCCGAGAAAGAGAATGATTGCAGAGAACTGGAAAAATGCACCAAAGGCATAGATTAAAACCCCAATTCTGTATTTTTTTTTTCAATAATTCAAATTTATGTAACTTCTAACTGACAAAACAGACCTTGAAATCCCAAAGCAATGAAATTACTTTAGTAGGCTCTCAAATTTTGACTTTTCCAATGAAAATATCAGGATATATTATAGATGAACAAAAAAAAAAAATTGGGAACTTCAAGGAAAAAAAGAAAAACAGTAACGTAAAATGTAACTTTCCTTTATATTCCTGAATTAAGGTTTTCAAAACCTGAATTTTTCCTAGGGTCGGAATATTAATATAGTAACTGTTTACATATATAAACAGGTCCAACATCTCAACAACGGACATTTGGTGGTCGTCGTTCCTCTGCTCAAAAGTTCATCATATTTTTTTTAAGGACTTGTGAGTGGAGCAACGACCAATATCTACGCACACTCCCACCCCCTAACCCCCACAAACACACACAGAAAAAAAAAAAAACTAGAACAACCATCAGTTTTTATTTTGCATGGTTGAGGAACTAGTGTACATCCGTGCATGAAGTAAACAAGTGCTAAAACATGCATTTCCTTTTGTTCTATTCTTATTCCTGGCAAAGTTCAAAGTTCTATCTTCTACAATAAGCAAAATGATCCTATGGCACCTGAACCTACAGGAAAAAGTTACCCTGATCTCCACCAATGTGGGCTTATGGCAAGTTACGGAATATCTCCACTTTCGGTCGGAGGACATCAATGGTGGACATCAGGGTTTTACACATTCTCATACAGGATTCATAGGATCATTACCCTTATGTTTAGGCATAAAGTTATTCCCATAAAGTATAGGAGATATAAAAAAAAGATAGAGAAAATTACAGTGCACATGAACGTAATGGCAGACATGCAAAGAGAGAGAGATCATCTGATTAATGTTGCGATTGTCCAAAAGGGCAGATGCCTGACTTACAGAGCAGAGCATATTTTTTGTGTTCAATGGTGGGGCAGATTGGGTTGAAACGAAGGCTCCAAGCAAAGGCTCCTCAACTGAATGTTGCTGAAGAAGGGTAATTGGACTCGCCCTTGAATGAGCTAAATAAGACCCAGCTGTAGGTGTGGCGCTACTGGCTAGAGATCTTGCAGACCTGGAAAAGCAATATCTATGATGCATTTATTCCCCCTCAAACGGGACTAAGATTCACAATTACTTAATTTAGAAGATGGTGTTAAGATAAACAGATCAATATAAGCTACTTAGAGAAATAAGAGTTTGACAATAACCCAGTAGAAAGATCATTTTTTGGACTAAGTTGCAGTGTAAATACAGTTACCCAATAAAAAATGAGTTTACACAATAATTTTGTAGAGGGAAAACTACTTATACAGGCTGTCAAATAATCAAATTATTAAAATGGCACGGGCAATTTACAACACAAATAGAACGTCTTCTTGATTGAAGTTTATGATCACATTTTAAAGAGAAGTTACAGTGATGGAGATGTTTGTGGATAAAATAAGAAAAAGACCAATCTGTTAATTTAAATGAAAACATCATCTTCAAGGCTAAAGTTGCATGTAAAAAGTAAAACAAATTGCAGCATTAAACAAATGCATTTTAGAGGCTCTTTCCCATAAATGAAACCATCATCGTCAGGGCTAAAGTTGTATGTAAAAAGTAAAGCAAATTGCAGCATTAAACAAATGCATTTTAGAGGGATAAGAAAACTACTGATATGCAACCTGTTTCCCATAAAATTATTCAAAATCTACTGGTTTTTGGACAATTATAGTCGCTTGTAAAATCATAGTTGCATTACGTGAAGTATAAGTCTCTTCCAGTGGAGCTGAAACGTGGAAGTACAGTATCTGCCACAGGAATGGGGGAGGTCGAAACATAGTGGTCATCCATTGAAGGTCTCGAGTCATAGGTTTGAATGTACTCTCTCTTTGTTTTCTTCTCACTAGTGGCATCTCTTTTACTCTTCTGCATAAAGTACCAATAGAGACCAAAATAATCAACTATCCAAAAACACTTTAAATAAAACAGTTTATGAATAAATTAACCAATAACTAGGGAAGCAATTCAAGTATCAGAAGAGAGGAACAATCAATTGGCATATTGGTTCTTAAATGCAAGTCTAGTAAAATGAGCCAATATGGTTGAACTCCTTGACATTAGAGGACAGTGCTAATATGTGTGTGTGTGTGTGTGTGTGTGTGTGTGTGAGAGAGAGAGAGAGAGAGAGAGAGAGAGAGAGAGAGAGAGAGTATTCTTTGTT